TTATGGAGGGTGTGTGTGTGGAGTTATACTGCTGTTTCTTTTTTTTTTTTTTTTTTAAAGATTTTATTTTTTTCCTTTTTCTCCCCAAAGCCCCCTGGTACATAGTTGTATATTCTTCGTTGTGGGTCCTTCTAGTTGTGGTATGTGGGACGCTGCCTCAGCATGGTTTGGTGAGCAGTGCCATGTCCGCGCCCAGGATTCGAACCAACGAAACACTGGGCCGCCTGCAGCGGAGCGCGCGAACTTAACCACTCGGCCACGGGGCCAGCCCCTATACTGCTGTTTCTTTTATGGTTATGGGTCTTTTCTATTTATTGAAAAAGTTTTGATAAGTTATATTTTTTCTGGGAGATTGCCTGTTTCATCTAGAGTTTTCAAAATTATTCCTAGTGTTTTCGTATTATGTAAATTTCTACCATATTTGTAAATGATGTGTCTTAAATTCTTGGTACTTATGGCTTCTCTCTTTTCCTAATCTGTCCACTGTTGTTGATTCAGTTTGTTATTTATTTTCTTTCTCGATAATTTCTTCTCTTACAATTTTACGCTCTTTGGGTGTACTCTTTTATTTTCTAACTTCTCAAGTTAGATGCTTGGCTCGTTAATTTTCAGTCTTGTCTCGTATATCCATTTAAGGCTATAAATTTTTCACTAAGATCTATTTTAGCTGTATCCCACAAGTTTTTATATGTCATGTATTTATTGATCAGCTTTAACTTTTTTCTGTTGGCCATTATGATTTTCTATATGAATTATTTAGTAAACTTAAATTTTTTCAGATGCATTGGAGGGTTTTGGTTTATATTTTTCTATTAATTGTGTTTCATTGTCCTCTGAACCTGCTCTATGAGATACTGATTCTCTAGTATTTTTTGAGATTTGCTTTGTGGTATCCTTGTTGCTCATTTAAAGAAATAAATATTTAATGTGTGCTTGAAAAAAAATATTTATTTTAAAATGTTAGCTACAAGGCTGAGTAGATCCCATAGATGAAGTTGTTACTTCTGTTGAAGTTTTCTATATTCATACTCATCTTTATCTGTTAGCTTGGTTTCTTAAAATCTCTTAAGATTACGGCTTTGTCATTTTCTCCTTAGAGTTCTGTCCCCTTGTGCTTTCAGTGTTTTGAAGCTGTGTAGTTAAGAAGTTCATGGTGCCAGTGCCTTCCTGGTGAATTGTTTCCTTCAGCATCATGTAGTGACGTTAGTCTTACGTAACGCCTCGCTCCACCCTACAGTGTGTCTGTTCTAGTATAGCTACCGGCATAGATTTTTATACCCCCTCCCCTCCTTTAGTTGCCTTTTGTTATCATTATTTTTTAAATGTGTCTAGTGGCTAATCTAATCTGAGACACTGTCCTTTAGCTGCTGGGTTTAAGCCATTGTATTTACCACAATTCATGATTTCTAGTTGGTTTTATTTTTACTGTCTTACTTTGTGCTTTCTGGTTTGCATGCTTTTTTTCTTGCCTTTTTTTCTTTTTATTTCCCCTTTGTATTGGATCGAAGGAGTTTTTTTAATTCCACCACCCTTCTTCCCATTCCACACACTTTTTGGAAATTATACATTGTCTTTCCTTTTCATGTTTACCCGTAATTTTAGAATGCTTACGTGACTTAAAGTCTGAAGCTAGTCGGTTTTCCTGCCTTTCTCTAGAGAAGAGCCCTGAAACCTGTGAACTCTGATCATATCTGGCTCACGTTATTGTTGTCTGGTGTTTTAGCTCTGCCTTGTGTTACTTGTACTCCAGCCAGTCATCATTCCCGCTGTGTTAGACAGTCAGTGCCTGGTGACGTTGACCGCATTACCAGGTTTTTGCTCACTGGTGTTTTGGTATCCCAATTCTTTCTTCTAGTCCATTTTCTTTTCCTAAAGTAAGTTCTTGAACTTAATTCTTTGAAATTAATTTTCAAACTCTTTGAGATAAGTCCAAGAATTTAATTTTTTGAATATGACTCTATAAATGGTAAATTCTACGTCTCTTTTTGTTTAAAATGTCTTTTATGTGTTTGGGTTATTTTGGTTATCACTTTTGAATGATAGTTCATCTGGATATTGTTGTTTTTCTTAGTGTTTGAGATATTTTCCCATGTCTTTGTTTCTGTAATTACTTTTGAGAAGTTGGTCCACAGTCAGTCTAATTATAATGTCTCTCTCTGTAGGTAATGTCTTTTCTCTATAGTTGTTTTTGAGATTTTTTGTTTTAGGTGTTCTAAATTGCACTAGGATGTGAGTAGATACAGATTGATTTTTACTTATACTGCTTGAGACTTGTGCCTTTTGAATCTGAAGATTTATGCTTTTAATTGAACCTGGAAAATTCTCAGCCATTCTCTCTTCCTGGAGAAGTCTCTCTTCAAGAGAAGTTTTTGCTTCTCTTCCACTCTATTCTCTCCTTCTGGAATGTCTACTTAAATATGTGTCAGACCTCATCCTGGCCTTCCTTTCCCAGATTGTTTTAAATTATGAAATATCACACATTCAAAAGAGTAACTAGGCCTGTAATTTAAATAATAATACGTAGTATTACATAATATACCTTCATATGTAATATAATAATATCATAAAATGAACACCTGTGAGTCTGCCAGCAGCCGCTTGAGCAGCAGAACAACACCTGGGGTGGTAGTAGTTCCAGGGGTGGGGTGCTCACTAGTTTTTGTGAGTGCACAATGCGGGAGTTAGTGGCCGCACCTGGCTGAGTGCCTAGCAGCAGTTCCTTCATGACGGAAGGGTGTGATCAGGGGTGTGGTAGAGGGGGTTCCAGCGCTTAAGTTTGGGGTAACATTTATTGAGCACTTCCAGTGCAGGGCCAGAACCAAATGCTGTATACCTTCATTGTCCCAGCTTGTCCTTACATCGGCTCTGCAGGAATGGACTATACTGTTTTCGTGTTTTACAGATGAGGAATGAGGTTGAGAGGTGAGGGAATTTGGCCAGGGCTCAGGGCTAGGAAATGACAGAGCCACCACTGCAACCCAGGCAGTTTGGTGCTTTGCTGCCTGTAAATGACCCTGTGGCTTCTGTTTGTAACACCCAGATTCTGTATAATATTCTGTTTGTTAGTTAACATTTTCTTTTATGAATTCCTTTTTTGGTGATGTGGTTCAGGAGATCCAAACAGGGTTTAATTAGTTTTGCAAGGGAAGGGGAGAGCGTGTGAAAAAAACTCAGGCCTTGGGTCTGTAGACAGGGCCATCTTCACAGCTCCGTTTAGGACCCACCTTTCTTAGCAAAAAACCTCCCCAAAGACTGTGACCCCCGCAAACGCCGTTGAATGCCCTTCTCCTGTGTTCCTGCTGCCCCTGGGCCTGTCCTGGTGGAGCACATCTCATACTGCACTGGCAGTTTAAGTGTCTTTTGTCCTCGCATTGGACTAGATGCTCAGCCAGGATGGGGCTACCCTGTTCATTTCTGTATCTCCAACACTCAGCACGTTGTCTGGCCCATAAAAGTTCACAAATGACACATAGTCGTAATTCTTTTTTTTTTTTCTTTTCCTGAGGAAGATTTGCCCGTAGCTAACATCTGTGCTAGTCTTCCTCTGTTTTTTAGTAAGTGAGCCACCAGCACAGCAGTGTAAGTCCACACTGGGCAACCAAAGTGGAGTGTGCTGAACTTAACCACCATGCCACCAGGGCTGGCCCACATATTTGTAATTCTTAATGATGGAGTAAATTAATATTTTATGCCAGAAGCACTAATAAGTGACACTCGTTTTTAATTGTTTACTATATTTCAGGTACTATAATTAGATTTTTTTACTTACCTTATACAGATAATTGTAATATTAAATTATGACTTAGCTGAAAACGTTCTCTCATTTACTCCTCACAGTAATCCTGGGAGATGAGTAGCATTGTTACCCATTTTGCAGATGAGAGCTGAAGTTGAGAGAGATGATGTGACTTGCCTGTGGTTACATGCTATTTAAGCAGTGGGACTGGATTTGAACCCACATCTGTCAGACTCTGGATTCCATGGTCTTTGTACTTTAGCATACTGCTTCTCTGGAGATTTCCATGATCAAATCAAAGTGGAGAGATCGTAGAATTTACTGAGCTTGAAAATTTTCCGAGAAGCCAGCCCCAGCGTTGTGACGACTTGCCATAACAGGGGGGAACAACAGAAAACGGGTTGGGTTTTACACTGCAGGATTCCTTTTGTATACCTGCCTTTAGAGCATGAAACCCTCAGTGTGAACTGGCGCTAACCTGTTTAAAAAACGAAGTCACTTTTGCACAGCTCTTGTTACAACAGCATGTGTCTTGGTTAACATAAAATTGGTCTGATAAGCCAGATTGGCTTGTTAGATTCAAAGGTGTAACACAGGCAAATTGTGATGACTACTTAGCATCAACGTTAAAAATGGTGTTCTTAGTGAGATGTGGAACTGGACAGTGGATGAGGTCCAAGTAGGTATTAGATTGGCGTTTCTGGTCATTGAAGACAGTGGAGAGAGAGACATTAAAGTGCGTGTGTCCTTCAGCCCCTCAGCAGTAGCTAAAGCTTTTCTTTTCATAATCTTAACTTTGCTTGCTCACAGTGCCTTTCATTTCCAGAACTGTTAATTTGTATAATCAAGGATTATTGTATTAAAAGCTATATTTTACATTTTGAATAATACCAAGGTTTTTTGATTTTCCTTTTTTTCTTTCTACAGTAAAAAGACCTATAATTTATAACTTGACTATCGTAGAATTGTATGTTGTAAGAAGACTTTTGTATTCTCTTTCGCTATGTCTATTAATGCAGTCGAGTAAATGAAATCTTTGTGGTTTTAGAAATTTGGATCCTTCCAGTTTGGTGGAGTGTTCTTGGTAGTAGCTACTCCTAGAAATGCAAGTCGGCAGTGCTTAACCAGCTGGCATTGGCTGGTGTGAGTGTTGTATGTAGACGGTTGAGGGTTTGGGCCAGAGGTAATAAAGGAGACATGGGTCTCAGAAAACACACCAACTCTGTGGCGTTACCTAATAGGTTCGTTTTCTTTCTTCTTTCAGACTGGGCGAATTGACAAATCCTACCCTACAGTATGTGGCCACACAGGACCCGTGCTCGACATCGACTGGTGCCCACATAACGATCAGGTCATTGCCAGCGGCTCAGAGGACTGCACGGTTATGGTAAGCTCCCGGGGTGTGGCGTGCACACGGCCGGGGAGACTCACCTGCTGCTCCCAAAGCCTGTGTGTGTGTCGAGGCTTGAAGAGCAGAAAATGAGAGCAGTGTTGATTGTCCACTGGCTTAGACGAGGATTTAGCCACGTTCAAGTTTAACTGCAGATAAGCCTTCTACAAGCCCTTACGTCAAGAGGTTGTACTGTATTGTCTTTTCTCTTCTTTTGTATGTGTGTGTACGTGCTTATTGACAGTAAACACATCTGCTCTTTCCAGTAATTCTGTGAATTCCATTGGACCACATGATGACCCCTCCCTCTTCCAAAAAAGGAGAGAAAAAGTTTCTAGCGTGAATTGTATATTACTGTGAAATAAGTTGCCAAAGGTTATACAGATGAAATGGGATATGTGACAGATAAGGGGAGGTAGGGAAGAGTTTTTCAAGTGCTTATTTCCAAGCTAACGTCAGAAGGTATGTTCTGTCTAGTGGACCCTGGTTAACAAAGTCCTTTTTAAGTAGAGGAAGATGGGCACGGATGTTAGCTCAGGGCCAGTCTTCCTCAGCAAAAAGAGGAGGCTTGGCAGCAGATGTTAGCTCAGGGCTAATGTTCCTCAAAAAAATGAAAGAAAGTCCTTTTTATGCAGACATATAAACAAACAGCTTGAAAGATAAAGTAAGTTCTTTACATTCCCTCATTTAGATTCCGAAAGTAGGTTTTATCTGAAGCCAAGGTTTGGGGTACTTGTTAATGTAAAGCTGCTTGTTCTTTTTTTTTTTTTAAGATTGGCACCTGAACTAACATCTGTTGCCAATCTTGCTTTTTCCTTCTTCTTCTCCTCCCCAAAGCCCCCCAGTACCTAGTTGTCTATTCTGGTTGTGAGTGCCTCTGGTTGTGCTACGTGGACGCCTCCTCAGCGTGGCCTGATAAGTGGTGCCATGTTCGCGCCCAGGATCCGAACTGGTGGAGTGCCGGGCCGCCAAAGCGCTGTGCGCGAACTTGACCACTTGGCCACGGGGCCGGCCCCTAAAGCTGCTTGTTCTTCATTATGTTCTTCTTCGCCTTAAACTGTAATTATTGGTTTGGATCAATTTTTAATCCTAGCCCAAGATGTGTGGAGAGGTTAGGTGTCAGCAGAGACAGGGAGCACTGGATCAGGGAAGGGGGGCCCTGATTAAGTGCAAGAGGTGTCTCCACGCCGGTTGGGCAGCTAGGAGAACCACACCGCTTCTGTTTCCCTCTTCATTTTCTGTGGACTGAACCAGGCTTAGAAACATTGTTTGGAAAGCTTTATTGGTTAACATTATTTTACAAGAACACAAATTAATTCCTGAACTGTGTCATTTAAACATTTACCCATTTTTCCTCGTGGACTTTTGGCTGAGGATAACTCCTCCTGTGATCTCATAATTTTGGCAGCCAAAGCATATTAAAGAAATATGCTGCTGTTAAAAGGAATTGTCCCATTTAATGTGCCTTGCTAAATTGATCGTTTTAATTGCTGCAGACACATTTTGCTAAGAGAAGGGAACAGTATTTAGACCTGATGCCAGAGTCTTACACTGAGAGTCTTAGCCTCTGTTGAGGAAGCAGCTTCGGTCTTTCGCTCCCTCTCCAGCATCATTGGTCATGTTGCCTTTGGAAACATTTCTTTTTGAATTATAAGACACACTAAACAAACAGTTAAATGAATTCAGTTAAGTGAAAAAAGTGAATTAAGTGAGTTAAATGATTTATTACAAAGTGAACACCCTGTAACCGCCACCCAGCTCTAGAAACAGAACTTTCCCAGCCTTCTCAGACTCCTCCCTGTGCCCCAGCCCAGTCGCAAGCCCTCCCGCGCTCTCAAAGGAGCCACCGTCCGTGTTTTCTAATCCTCCCTTCTTTGCCTGTCTCGATGGTTTTAATCACTCAGGTGTGCATCTCTGGACACTATAGCTTAGTCTGGCCAGTTTTAAAAACTTGATATGTCTTTTTTTTTTTTCTAGGAAAGATTTGCTCTGAGCTAACATCTGTTGCCAATCTTCCTCTCTCTCTTTTTTTTCTTTCTCCCCAAAGCCCCAGTACATAGTTGTACATTCTAGTTGTAGGTCCTTGTGGTTCTGTGTGAGCTGCTGCCACAGCATGGCTACTGACAGACGAGGGGTGTGGTTCCACGCCTGGGAACCGAACCCAGGCCGCCGAAGCGGAGTGCACCAAACTTGAATCACTAGGCCATCAGGGCTGGTTCTTGATATGTCTTTTAAGTCTTTATTAATCTGTAGGTTCCTCCTACATCCTTTTCTTGTCCTTAACAGTGTATTTGTTGAAGAAGCCTGACCTTCGACCTGTGTCTTTCAGGCCTAGATTTTGCTGATTGCACTCTTGTGGTGCAGTTCAGCATGCTCCCCTGTCCTCTGAATTCCCTGCAGGTTGGCAGCTGGATCCTGAAGTGTGATGGGATTCAGGTTCAACCCCTTGGCAAGATCATATATAGTTAGTGTTCAGTTCTTCCGCCAGGAGGCACCTGGTGTCAAGATGTCTGGTTTTTGTTCTTTTTTGATTTGTGCAGCTACTGCTGCTCAGGGCCTAGAGCCAGGATTTTCTTAGGGGTCACAAATGGTGATATTAAATTCTATTATTTCATTTTCAGTTTTTAGCTGGTAAAATTTTATAAGATGATGCTCCCTCTTCTCTATTGTTTAGTTACCCAGTGGTAAGTTCGTATATGAAACAGGATAAATGCTTGATTGTTTTCCTTTTATTTACCCAGTTTTCAAAATAATGAATTTGTTCTCTGTCTTCCTCAGAAGGTGACCAATTAGGGTTGTCTTTTTCTTCCCTTTCATTTTGTTTTAAATCACAGATTTGAACGTATTTCATGGGGTTTGATCATTCTGATTCTTGTCTCAGAGCTCAGGTCGGCTAGTCTTTGCCAGCAGGAATCTCTTCATGTTTCCCGAGTCCTTTGGACATGACCTTGGTGTCTTTGATAGCTTCCTTGCTGTCTGGTCTCTTAAGCTGTTCTAGGATCCTCCTGGACATCTCTTGACCACACTTTGGATCAGCCATTTCTCTCAGAAGCTCTGTCGTCGTTTTTCTAATGGAAAATGGAATTGTAGATCACAGTCTGGGTGCTAGAAATGCTCGTTGTCACCATGGTGATCACTGTTTTTATCTTCGAAGTAAATGGGGCTAGAATATACATATGTATTTAAAGATATACCTTGTGACTTCATCTTAATATTTCCAGTTCAAATTCAGGGCCATAAAGTTTTAACCTAACCTCGTTAATATTATGTTTCTATCTCCTTTCTCCCACGCTGAGAATCCTGGTTCTCAAGGACTCAGTGGGCGAATCAGAATATCCGGATGTGTCTCATTTGCTTTTTCACAGTATACATACAGTAGTTTCAGAGTAAAAATACTAGTATCACGACCAACTGTGATTACTGAAAATTTTTTAAAAAACCAACTTTTTAATCTATGCTATCTCTGTTCTCCCTCTGTTTAAAAATCGATAAACTCTATATTTTCAAGGTCCCATAGCCATTACGTTTAACAGCCTCTCGTATCTTAGTTTCCCATCAGTCCTCATGCTGGTCTCTCTCTAGTCATTTGGATCATCTGAAGTTTCTTCTCTGGTAGATTCTAGACCCCAGGACTCTAGAAACCAACCCGAGAGGGCTCCCTTCTGGGACAGCCCCCATACTGCGGAGAGATTCCAAGGAACTGGCTCACGGAAAATATTCTCTAAGCTCTTCTATATCAGTAATAGCCTGTCTGTGACCTTGATACTTGAAGGTGAGTTTTTCTGGATAGAAAATCCTTCGCTTTCAGTTTTTCCTCAAGTATCTAAACATATTATTCCATTTTCTTTGGACATGAAGTGTTGCTGTCAAAAAAATCAGATGATCTAATTTTCTTCCTTTATAAATCCTATATTCTTTCTGCCTAGATATTCGTAAGATTTTTTTCTTAAAATACAGTGATTTTCCTAGAATATTGTTCATTATCCTGAGTTGGTGTTCCTGGGTTCACTATGTACTCCTTGAATATATAGTTGCAAGTTTTCTTTTTAGGAAAGTTTTCTCGAATTACGGTTTTTAGCGTTTGTTCTGTTTCCTTGCTTTGGTCTCTTCTTCAGGGACTCCTGTCATCTGTGTGCTTCATCTTCTTGACCTGTCTTCAGTATTTGTCAGTTTCTCTAAGCTTTTTTCCCTGTCCATTTCTTTTAGACTGAAATCTGATTTTACCTTTCTTTCTTGGGGGGCATTATTTGCTGTGTTTATTTGATCTTAGGTTCTTTCTTGGTTAGTCTTCATTTCTAAAGAGCTTTTTCTTTTATTTCTAATTTTTAAAAAATTTCTGCAACCTTACTTTTGAATTTTTCAAGTTCTGATTTGTAATGTTTCCCATCTTGTATTGTCTTCTTAGTCTTTTATTTTAAAATATATGTGGTTTTTATCTTTTTTTTGAGCGTGTTTTCTTAGCGTTCTTGTATTGTCTCTAGGGATGTTATTTTGTGCCTTGTCCTCTTTTTTTTCTTACGGTGATTTTGGGGCCTTGATTTTTGTTTTCTCCTATTTGTATGTGAATTCAGTTTTCCCGAGCTTTGAGAAGGCGGCTTGGTTCACATAGCTGTTCCTACTCACAGGCTCCCCCTTCTGTCGTTTTCAGGTAGTGTCACAAACGTGCTGGCTGGCTTGCTCAGATTCCCAGGCCTGCTTTTATTTGGCCTTTCTCCTCCTTTTGCCCCTCTTATTTCTGTCCTGCTCAGATTTGAGTCCATTCCTTGGAATCTCTCCTCAGTGTGGGGCCTTCCCGGAAGGGAGCCCTCTCTGGTTGATTTCTAGAGTGTGTGGTCTTGATAGCTCTAGCCCCTTGATACCTTTTCATTTCAGGCCCTCTTGCTCACCTGCTATTGCAGAGGGCAGAACCTCTCCCACTTTCCGGACGGGTCCATATGACTTGCTGTTCTCAGTTCTGTGAGGCGACCCATTGCTGCTCCATTGTTCCACACAAAGGC